CTGGCAAGATGCCATCTTAGCCAGAGGCCTGATAACACAGATTCACACAGCCTGTAATGTGTATTGGACAACCTGAGGATGAGGGAAGCTGTCTGTACTTTCAAGCCCAGAGAACAACAAGGATACACCAGTGTTCATCCCTGACACCTTTTCATGCCACCCTTACAGATGATACTGGCTGAAGGGCGGAAGGGAAATCCTACATGGAAACAGGATGCAGAGAGAGAACACTGTAGCAGTTCAAAATACATGGGGAAGGGAGCAGGTATCGTATGGTTTTGTGGAAGAAATTTCCTTCCTGTCCCTCTCAGTTCAGCTCTGACACACATTGAATTCTAGGGACAGCTCTGGGCCCCTCAGCACAGGAGAGACACCGAGGGGCTGGAGCGTGTCCAGGGCAGGGAACGGAGCTGGGGAAGGGGCTGGAGCCCCAGGAGCGGCTGAGGGAGCTGGGAAAGGGGCTCAGCCTGGAGCAAAGGAGGCTCAGGGGGCCCTTGTGGCTCTGCACAAGTCCCTGGCAGGAGGGGACAGCCGGGGGGGTCGGGCTGTGCTGCCGGGGAACAGGGACAGGAGGAGAGGGAACGGCCTCAGGCTGGGCCAGGGGAGGTTTAGGTTAAATATTACAGAAATTTTCTCCACCAAGAGAGCTGTCCAACCCCAGAACAGGCTGCCCAAGGTGGTGGTGGAGTCCCCATGCCTGGAGGGATTTAAAAGCCATGTGGATGTGGCACTCGAGGACAGGAGTCAGTGGTGGCCTTGGCTATCTGTGGGAATGGTTGGACCCAAAGTCCTTGGAGGGCTTTTCCAACCCAAATGATTATGTGATTCTGTGTACACTGCCCACTGATAGTGCATGAGAAACTCCTCTGACCTAGCAGGTGAACCAAGTAGTATTTATTTTTACCTAGAGAGTGGCAGGCTTTAGGATGGTTTGGGCTGTACGACCTTCCAAAATCCTCCCCGATACCCAGCTCCTCCAACTGCTGCTAAACATCCGTGGCAGAAGCAGGCAGACCTGTGGGCAGCATTTCAGAGATGCAACCAAGAACTGACTCTTTCTAATGGTTTAATGGGGCATTTTTAAAATTTTGTTTGAACTGACACCCAAAATAACACTTTGTGCTTCTGCGCAGCCCTTAATCCATGGTGCTTTTGCTGGCAGTTCTCTGTGTACAAGGCATTTTCAGGTAAAATACCAAATGGAAAGGCAGTTTAAATGACTGTTAAGCAGGGATTCAAAGCTAAATTGGTTTGGGTTGCTCCATCACTGCTGAAGGTCATTATTTTTATGCCTCTGCTGTGATCAGTATCCAGGTTTTCTGTCTGTTCCTAAGAACTCAGCTGTGAAAAGGGTTATCAGCTGTTAGCTGATTTAAAGGGAAGACTATTATCTACAAACATTCAAAGTTTCCTTTTCAAATGTGACTTTTATTTAGTTGGTGGGATCAACTCTTTTTAACTAATCTTCATTTTAAAAAAAAATTACTTACACAAATGTTTATTTTACATTCTTTTGCAAACAAAATTGCATTATTGAGGCTTTCTGGTTGACCCACCAAGAAGTGGCAAAACTCTGGTGGCACTGGCTCTGTTGTCAGTGACCATGGCCTGCAGATGAGATGAATGCAGAGATTTAAAAATGCTACACTCAAATATATACCAGTTCTTGCGGTGACTTTTAGCAACACCACTAACCCAACCAGGGGACAACGTGTTCTGAATGACTGTACATTTGCAGCACCACAAGCAGTGCAGCCTGCAGGCAATTACTCAACTGAAAGGATCTGAAAACAGCCTCAGATAAAAAATAATATAAAAAATTTAAAAAATATATATGTTAGAATTTCATATACTAGTTTTTGATGAAGCTCCTTGGATGTTTCTTACAAAGCAATTGGGAAAAATGCTGCAACAGAATATGGAAAAAATAGAGCTGCTAGAGCAAATCAAATATGTCAAATAACAAACCCAACTGAAACATATTTCTGGAGTTGCCCTGGCCTGTTATTTCAGATTAATGACAGGGCTCTTAGTGAAATTCAGAAGATCTTTAGACTGTTTATGGTCTAAAATCCCTGGGCTTGAACCCAGTCAAGCCTGAACATTACAAATTTAGTGCTGCAATTTCCAAGTCATATTTTCCTGCTTTATTTGTCACCAGGGCTGTACAAGCCAGTGTGCCTCATTGTTTCGTGTAACAAGTTCCTTATGGTAATCTGGCTGTGAATGTCTCATTCTAGTCCTAGCCTGGACCAGACTCTGACATGGCCCAGCTGTAATTTTTCCTTTTCTTTCACTCTTTTTTTTTTTTAGCCTTAATTTCAGTGTAGCCATTCACTGTGGGATATTCCCTCACTCACTCTCTCCCCATGCAATTGGCAGTGCTAGAAGGAAGGACTGGATTTTTCTTTCCTGGTGCTGTTGATGCTGCAGATCCATCTCAAGGGAAGAGACTTGTCAAATCTCTTCCTACCTTTCGACAGCAAGACTTCCCAGGGGTTTAACTCCTGGACCATGTCACGTTTTCCACTGCTTCCCCAAGCTGTTTTGGGATGCACTAGGCATCTGCTCAGGGGGCACTTTTGGACTCCCTGCAGAAGGAGGTTTTCTCCCCATCATCCAGCCCAGCAACAGCAGCGGCGGGACTGCCACAATCCAGCAGCCGTGGGACCGGTGCACTGAGAGCTTTGGGCTGATTATTCTCACTTAATACTTTCATGCCATCTCCGTAGCAGTCTGCAGCACTGCATCGATCTCTGAGCCAATGCGGGGAGAAGCTGCTGTCATTACGATGCTCATTCAAGCCTGACAGACTAATTGCCTTGCACTCTCTGGCTGTTTTCACTCCGGCAGCCAGGTTGGGGGAGGCTGAGCCGGCTTTAATTGCCTCTTGTCTTCACGGCAAGGTTAACCATTTTAGCCTTTTCGTACACCGGTGTCGCTCCGGGCACGGGGTGTGAAACAGCAGAATGGACAAGGAGGGGGGGCAGGAGGAGGAGGAGGAGGAGGAGGAGGAGGAGGAGGAGGAGGAAGGCTGTGCATGGGTTTAGCAGAACACAAAATGACCATAAGCAAGGCACATGCAAGTCCTTCAGCAACGTGAAAAGCGGTGAGCGAAGCCAAGCCCCCTTGCTGGGATTATTAATATTCATTGAGTTTCTGAGTGCAAACCGCTTGTCACTGTGGCTTTGCTCTGCTCGAGTGCTGTGGTTTCTTGTTCATTTTAATATGACTCCTGGATTTTGCTGTGTTTAATCATCCGTAGCCATGCTTAGCAGCCCAGGGGAAATGGGGGCCCATCAGGGAGGGCAGGTGGGAGAGGCTGTGTCTTCAGAGATTTGCCTTGATGTTATTCATAGTGTTTTCATGGAAAATATGAGCTTGAAAAGGGACAGAGGTGCTTGCCAAGGATAACACTGCAGGATAGAGGCAGAACTGGGAATTAAATTCTACATCCCCTGACCTGGGCCAATAGACTTTATATTGCTTCTGCACTTGCACCTGTGAAATACAAACGTCACACTTAACACTTCACCAAAAAAGTCAAACCACTTCCTGCCTACAATTCCTTTACTTGGAATGAGATACAAATTGTAGGTGGAAGCACCAAAGTTTCAGTAGCTGTTTAAAAAAAAAAAACGATGGGAGATGGGCCTGGAAAGTTGGATGTGGTTGGATGCTTTTATCTCTGGCTGAGCTCTGCACAGATCTGTGGCCACACAGAGAACTTGCTGGAGCCCTTTGCTGCATCACCAGGGGCAGGTCTGCTTGATGCCTGGAGGCTAGGATGACAGGAGAGGACATGTCTGGGAGTGGGACTCTGAGACAAAAAGCATATTGCATTTCCCCCAGAGCTCCTGCCTCAGCTTCTGGAGTCTGAGAAGGAAAAAAAGTCTGCTGAATGCCAGTACTTAGAGCATCCAAAACCTGTCACTGGGGAGAGGGCATTGAAAACTAGGTCTTTCCAGCATTAGGAATGACACTTCTTTATCCTTAAACGTTAGCACTTGTGTGCTTGCTGTCAAGGCTGCTGGTTTTTCACCATTCCTTCCGATGCATGTGCCTTGCAGGAGCAGCACGGCCTTTGAGAGGAGCAAAACAGATGTGTTCCGAGTGAAAACCAATAACGTGGGACAAATAAAGAAAATAAGGTACCTGCACAATGCTGCTACCACAGCACCTGTTCTGTGAGATGCTAACAGGATGACAGGCTGTAGAGGTTTAAGCATTGCCATGTTTTATTCATTATTTCTTAACGTGCTCCCATCAAGGTGAAGTTAAGGGGTGGTAAAAGCTTGTTTACTGCCGAAGATTTGAATTGAAGTGTGAAATCACCTACGGTATTGCTTATAAGTATCCATGCTCCCCACCAAGAATTGTATTTCTGTCATATGCACTCATGGGGAAAGACATTTAGGACTGTTTTTATGTCCCAACGGAGGTAAATGGGGTTTGCCATCCACTTTTGCTAACTTAGTGTAATGTAAATGATAATTATTATGTTTAACCACTGTCTGACTGACTGATATAAAATTTAAAATTAGTAAGTAGCACAAAGAAAGCTGGGAAGAGGTGGTTAAAACAATGCAAGAGGAGAATAGAGCAGGAGGGGTACTGGGTGGGGGAGTCCCTTGTGTTTTAGATATACAGTGCAAGGTGAATGAATGTGTACGTTGAATAAATGTGGAGGCGTAGATATGTTTGTGGGCACCTCCTTGCAGATAAAAGATTCACAGATTCACCTGTGATCTCTGCCCAGATGGAAAGTTGCTATTTTTAATACACCCTGCAAAAGCCCGCAAGTTCCTTGAAACTCTTTGGATAGACAGCCATAAACGGGAATAGTGTGTACAGTTGCTCTAGCCTTGCCCAGTATATAATGTTCCAAAAAATTACGGTGCTCGTGGCCAGTCTTAACCAGAACAGTAAAACAGGGTTGTTCTTCCTCTAGGATTGAGCACGACAACACCGGCCTGAACGCGGGGTGGTTCCTGGACCGGGTGATCGTGACCGACATGAACAGACCTCACCTCCGGTTTTACTTCCCCTGCAACAACTGGCTGAGCAAGGAGGATGGGGATGGACTGTATGTCAGAGACCTCATTGGCAGCCTGAATCCCATGGATGTGCCCAAAAGTAAGGGTTTTCAAACAAAAAAACCGACTTGGCTTTCTGGTGCCTTGTAGGAAAGGACAGGGTTGCTTTGAAATGATCTCATCATACAAAAAGTAATTTTGTAGTCTAAGCTAATTTAAGCTTTCTTTATAGTCAGTGGAGAGAGATAAAGGAAGGCGCAAGATGTCTCCAGAGGGTAATTTCTTCTTCCAGTGTTAGATCTGATGTCTTAGGGTGGGATAAATCACTGGTTGGAGAAGTTCCACTCATTTGTTGAGTACTGAGGGACCTGTGACAACAACATTAAATTAGATTGAATACCTACATGTAGATGAGAGGCATCCTACCCTGGAAGATGCAGCTGGTACCCCTGTGTGCTACCCAAAGAGGCAGTGTGGTTGCAGTCCTGTCCATAAAGTGTTTCCAGTCTGGCGATGTCCTGCAGGAAATTTCCATGAAGAAGCCAACCCTTTTTCTGGAACTCCGTTTTGCTGATTGTGTGTATGATACCCACACTGGGCTGGTGCCTGTTTTTAAAGCGTGGTTTTAAGCTAATGATGTTGAAACTAAGCCAGGACAGCTTGCACACCAGACATGTACTCTCAAATTGGTACCAGTGTGCTGGCCACACGGTGATGTATGGCGCATGTAGCGTGAGTGGGAAGGCGATGGAGATGTGAAAGAGGAGCCAGCAAACCAGCCTCAGGTGGGGTGTCAGCACTCCATCTGCAACTGCTAATGAGGAAACAGAGTTGTCTTTTCCTGACCTACTCACCAGGGCACTACTCCTTTCCGGGAGCTTAATTTTGGGTGTGGAACTGAAGGCCATCAGCCACAGGTCTGCAGGGAAAGAAAGCTCTGTGGTTTGATACTAAAAAGAGGAAACTTGTGCTTTTGCTAGGATCGAATCTTATTGAGTATAATTAGTAGACCTCTTGCAATGATGTTGCTGACATTATCACTTAGGAGCAATTATTTGGTCAAACTAATTTATTGCCAGACTTAAGCTGTGCTGTGAGCATTGTTAGATGCTTCAGAAGGGCAAAGTATTGTTATTTTTATTGTGGTCATGTTAACAGTGAAAGAATACATGAAACTGACCCAGAAACATTGAGTTACTTTGCACTATTGTGATACAACCTTCTAAAAGAGTGCTGGTATGTTGAATATGTAAGCATTAGAGTGCATGTGAGTTAGCATGCAAAAATAATGTCTATTGACAAGATATGCATATTGGAGCATTTTAAAAATGCAGACATCCCCAGGGTGGCTTCCACAAGGGAATGAGATAACATCTGGAGATGATATCTGCTAAAACCCCACCCAGTTACTACTGAGGTTGTGTGTGCTGAAGTATCTTGCTGCTTTTTTAATCCAAATTGATTTGTGAAATGAAGACTCTAAGGTCACTCGAGGGGCAGGAGGGCTCTGGAGAAGGTAGAGTGTGAGTCAAAGCAATGTACGATTAAGGAGAGGTTCCTGTGAGGAGGAAGTCAACCATTCAATCTTAATAGATCTTTAAATGACACAGCACCTTATCTGAATTTATTATTGCCCCTGCCTGGGAGAGATGATTCAAGGGAACGTGTGTGATTTCCTACATCCTGTTCAGCACCTGTCTCACAGCAGGAAAGGACTCATGGGCTAAACCCTCAGCTGGTACAAGAGAGTGCAGCTCCAATAAAATTGCTGGAGCTACTTTGCATTTCACAAGAAGAACAGCCAGTCCCAAGCACTCACTCTTCTGGAGAAGTGGCTCTGGGATATGGATGAACTGCTCTCCATGTGCTTGGCCCGGGAGAAATATGAGTAAGATCATCTCCTGAGCGTGAAAGAAGAGATTTAGGCAGGCATTTGTCAGAAATGCATCAGCTCTCAGCACCTTTATCAGAGATAAACCCTGCTCCTGAGCGGCACAGGCTGGGGCTCTGCAGCCACCCGCACGAAGGCAGGAGCTGGGCTGAGGCCAGAGGCATGGGTGAAGCCTTGGAAGCCTTCCAGGTGGCAGGTCTGAATCTGTAAGAGGAGAGGGTTAGCTCAGCTATCTCAGGTTGCAGTTCCCCTTGAACCATAATTAATGAAAGATAAACATCCCCAGACTGCTGTGGTGAACTGTCAGCTGCAAATGTAAATGTATCTGAATTAATTTGCTTCCCTCCGGATCCATAAAGGTCTGAAATGAGATTGTGATGTGATTTTTGTTGTACATACAAATCTTTTGCCCTGAATTTGGTTGGTTTTTAGGGTATATTGTTCCTTCTTTCCAATGGATTAAATAGTGATGTTTACTCTTCGAGTATTAATATTTTCTAGGCCCCTAGATAACAAAAAATTATGTAAGTTTATGTAAGGAAATATTAGTAATTCCCTTCTAAGTCTATGTTCCCATTAGCAGTTCAGTGCCATATTCTTTTTTCTGGTTATGTCTCTTCAATCACATCTTCAATCCATTTATTTCTTCAGTTTTTCTTTATAAACCACTCAGACAGTGTTGTTCCCAAACTTAGCTTCATGCTTTGCTTTCATGCTCCATTTGCTGTCACAGTCAGGAATGTTTTTGGAGGTAATCAAACAAGTTTCCTCCAGGTTCCCTCTCCTGCAACACCTTCAGCTTTTGATCTTCTCCTGCAGAACTTGCCCATCTTTGTCATGAGAATTTACCTTCCTCTTTTGAACTGGAGGTCACTGCTGGGACCCTCTCTGTGCTTTGTGTGGGAAGGATGTGGGCTTGAAAAAAATAAACTCCTTTTCTTTGTCATATCTTTGCTTCACTGAAAGGGCATCTGAAGCCTATTTGAAGGGGGCCTGTTGGTGCTTAAACCAAAACTGACTAAACTACGGGCAGCCTCTTTCTTGGTGAGGAGCAGAGGCCAGATAGAGAATTCCTGTAGGCTGTGAGTTCTGGAGGGGTTAATTTTAAGGAGAAAAAAAAAAAAAAATAAAAAAAAGAGGAATAATTAAAAAATGCAGAAGAGAATGTGTGGCAAAAAACAGTCAACATATAGTGGAAAAAATGGACATACACACACTCAAAACCCAAAACTAGAGTACTTTTCATGATCCAAATAGAACTACCATGGATGTCTTACTTAGCAATTGCAGACACCTGAGTGATTGCATTTTCTTATCCGAATAAAATGCCTCCTGTCAGGTTCCCTGTGGAATGCCACGCGTTTCTCAAGGAGAACAGGTTACATCTTAAGTGTTCCCGCTTGAATGGCCCTCCATTCCCTGTATTCACATCCACGGCATCGTATGCCCACGGGCCTTTGACAGGGATAGTGTCACAGATTCTTATTTACCCAGCGGCTTCTATTGGCAGCCTGGATTAATTTACACTACAGGTATTAATTACAAGGGAGGGCTATTGTTCAGCTTTATGCTGCTTTACTTGAGTTTATGAAGCCTTAGGATTGTATGGCTGTGGCTGAGCCTTTGTGCAAGGGACAGGCTCAAAACTGGAGCCAGGTGCTGGTTTTCCTTTGAGTGTTGCTGGTTTTGGATCACTCTGAGGGTGTCTGATGTCCCACCAAAGTGGGTGTGGGGGGGGGGGGGGGGGCATTCATAACAGCTTGCAGCTGCACTGGGAGATCTACTGAACTCAGTGGAGGTGTAAAAGGACATGAAATTCAGGAGCCAGTTCAGAATCACAGAACCCTTTAGGCTGGAAAAGCCCTCCAGGATCACAGATCACTGTTTCCCCAGCACTGCTCAGCCCACACTGATCCATGTCCCCAAGTGCCACATTCACATGGCTTTTGAATCCTTTCAGGGATGGGACTCTGCCCAACAACACTGCCCTGGACAGCTTGTTGCAGTAACTGGAGTTCCCATCCCATTGTTTGATACTTGCAGAGGGGTCAGGAATCATTTGTGCCACCCAGTGAACAGATCCTCATGTCCCCCACCCCACACTGACTCTCATTTGCCTGGACCTCACTGGCCTTTGCCTCTTGGTCTTCATCCCTGCAGGTGGGACACCAAGGCTGTGTCTTTCCTCATCCCTGTGTGTGATGAATATAGATTTTTACCACCTGGCTGGAAAGCAGGGAGCCCTGAGAGTTGGTCCTCATGTGGGTTGCAGGGTTTCTCAAGACATAATACCAAAACATTTCTGCAAGGCTAAGTTTCATCCAGATTCATAAAAGATGCTGAGGTTTGGTCAGGCTAGATGATATGTTGTTTATCCAGCAATAAACATATTTTCTCTGGGGGTGACCACAGGCAGTTAAGGCTACTCAGCTGCTTGAGGTTAGTCTGGTCTCTGTGCAGTGTAACCTCCAGTTATGCTCAGAACAAGGGAAATACATATTGGCTGTTCCTGATTTCCCTTGAAACCTCTCACTAATCAATCAATTCTCTGTACGTGTTTTACTCTGAGAAAGCAGAATCATTCATTTGCAATGGGGATGTTCACTCACTAGGTCCTTAAAATCATGCTCAGGAGCTCACTGAGCTGAAAATTAATTCAGTCTCCTGCACAAGTTTATCTTATGCTAACCTGTCAAATTTTGGTCAAGTCTTTGCAACCTGCCTCTTGCAAATGAGGTTGAGAGCCAAGGACTGGTTTTCATCTGGCTTTTTGGCCATCAGAACCCTAAAATTATTTAGGATTGGACATGATGTGTTATAAATGTACATGTGACAGCAACTTATGTTGAACTTCTTCAATGCTGCTTATTCCCAGTAGGACAGAATTGCATGTGTGACCCTAAACTACTTCAGTCTCTACTATTTCTTGGTAAAGTTTAATCTTATTTGGACTAATAATAATGAAAATGAGGAGCATATTAGTGTGGCACGCCTCAACCTTAAGGATGGAAGAGTTCCAACACAGTTACATTGTGTTTAATTTTTCCATACTTAAATGCGTTGAAAATTGACCACCTATTGCTATGCTTTATTATTATTGCTATTAAATAAAAAAAAGGATTACAAGTGGAGATCCAATACAGCTGTTCTTTGTCTAGGGGTGGGTCTTTTAAAGTCAGACATGACATTTCTGTTTTGCTGAAGCAAGA